AGACAGACAGACAGACAGACAGACAGTTCTGTGCACTTCATCACCTATGTCACTCTGTGCGCTGCTGCCTCAGTCCAAATCCAGAACACTCCCTGGAGGGTGCCTAGGTTACCTTGGGTGCCCGCTGGTAATCCCAGCTACTCAGGAAACTGAGTCAGGAGGATGTCAATTCTGAGGTTACAGCAGGCCATGTAGCGAGACCCTTTTTCAAAAGAAAATTTATTTATTTATTTTGGTGGAACCGGGGATTGAACTCAGGCCCTTGCACTTGCCAGGCAAGTGCTTATTCTACTGAACTATCTCCCCGGCCCTCAAAAGACAATTTAAAACCAGGCATGGTGTCTAATCCCAGGAATCTGGGAAGTTGAGGCAGGAAGACGGTGAGGTCAAACCCAGCCTGGGCATGTTAGTGACTTAGTGACACACTGTCTCAAATAAAATTTAAAAAGGACTGGGAAGCAGGGGTGGTAGCACATGCCTATAATCCCAGCACTCAGGAGGCTGAAGCAGGAGGATCCACACAAGTTTGAAGGTATCTTGGGCTACAGAGTGAGTTCAAGGACAACAAGACCTATATAGAAAAACCCTGTCTGAAAAAAAAGGGGCGGGGGGGCTGGGGACTACAGCTCAGTATGAACAAATGAAGTCCCTGGGTTCTGTCCTCAGTACCAAAAAATAAATTAATAAAAAATGTAAAAGGCTAGGATAAAGACATGGTGGTGCATATCTGTAACCCCAGAATTTAGAGAGACTGAGGCAGGAAAATTGTAAATTTAAGGCCCACCTGGCTAATACAGTAACACTTTGTCTCAAAAAAAAAAAAAAAAAAAAGCCCAATAATCCTCAGTATCACATTAAAAAGGGTAGAGGCTGGGATGTAGCTCAGTTGTATGCCACTTATCTAGTATGTGCATGGGGCCCTGGGTTTAATCTCTAGTACTACAAAAACAAAAAATTTCATTAATCCTTTTAAACTATTTAGTAATATTAAGTATTGATACTTTTATTTCCCCCATTTTTTTTTTTTTAATGTTGCAGGGTCTCACTATGCAGCTCAGACTCATAGTGGTCCTCCTGCTTTCAGCCTCCCCAGCACTGGATTACAGGCATATGCCACTATGCCCGGACTCTGGCTGGTGGTCTAAGCTTGCCTAAGCAGGTGCTGTAATCCACTGAGCTATCTCACCAGCCCCTCTTCTAGTTTTCTTTCAAATTCTTATCTATCTTGCAGTACTAGATGGTGAGCCCAGGGCCTCCTCACTTACCTACACTGCTAATCCCATTTTTACTTTAAGACAGGGTCTTTCCAAGTTACTAAATTGTCCAGGCTGGGTTTGAACTTGCCTCCTTCAAAGTGCTGAGCTTACAGGATTGGACCACCACACATGGCTCCTTAAAATGCTTTAAAAACTTGTATTTTGCTTCATGGCAGCCTAATCCATATAATCATGTCCCCCCCCCCAGGCGCAGCGTGGGCCGGACCCTCTCCCAGCCCCTCGGGCCGCCCCCCACCACTCCAGAGTGCCTCCCCCCCCCCCCCCCCCCCGCAAGGTTTTTCTTTTCTTTTTTTATTTTAGGGAAGGGTTTACAGGGTGTTCAGGGTCTCACTACTAGATCAGACTTGTAGTGATCTGCCTGTTTACAGCCTCCCAAGAAGTGGGATTATAGGCGCATGCCATCATGCCTGGTCTCAATTGCCATCTCAGTGGGCCCTGGGGGCAGGGCTGGCATGGCAGGCCTGGGGATCGAACCCCAGCTCCTGTGCCTGCTTGCCAGTGCTTTAATCCGCTGAGCTATTTGGCTGGCCCACCCCCAAGGTTTCTCTAGAACTTATAAAAAACATATTTATAGGGTTGGGGAGAAAAACTCAGTGGCATGCCTGGCGAACACAAAGTCCTGAGTTCAATCCCCAGTACCCATACCAAAAATAAATAAATAAAACTATATTTATATCTATATCTGTCTATTTTTTTGAGACAGGATCTCACAATGCAGTTCAGGCTGGCCATGAACTCACTTTAGAGCCCAGCAGGCCTCAAACTCACAGTGATCCTCCTGCCTTGGCTTCCTGAGTACTGGGACTACAGGTGTGCACCACATTTATGGCTATATTTATTAAAAGTAGGCTCATCCAGGTGTGGTGGCATTCATCTATAATCCCAGTGTCCTGTGAGGCCAAAGCAGGAGGACTGCAAGTTTAAGTCCTCTCTGGGCAATTTAGTGACACTCTGTCTCAGATTAAAAAAATAAGGCTGGGAACTGAGCAGCTAGAATAAAATAAAATAGAAAAAAAAATAAGGCTTGGAATGTAGTTTAGTGTGAAGGCCCTGGGTTCAATCCCTAGCACTACAGAGAGAGGTTGGTGGTGCGTGGGAGAGAGAAGAGGGAAGAAAATGGTGCCTAGTCCAATCCCATCCTGCAGAGGAACTGCCTTGATTGCTGGTTCCACACCTACCTGGCCCATCCTCTATGGCCAGCTCTTTCTCATGGGCCTCAAGAGGTCCCCCTTATAACCCTGATCCTGGGTCTCATCTAGAAATTTCCAAGCGAGAAGAGGTGGAGGCAGTGACGATCGTGGAGACCCCACCTGTGGTGGTGGTGGGCGTGGTGGGTTATGTGGCCACCCCTCGAGGCCTGAGGAGTTTCAAGACCATCTTTGCGGAACACCTTAGTGATGAGTGCCGCCGTCGCTTCTACAAGGACTGGTGAGGGGCATGCTCCAGCTCTGTGCTGGAACCAGAGGGGTGGGTGGGAGGACTGGGGTCAACATTGTGTGGAAGGTGGGAAAATGTGTGTGTGTGTGTGTGTGGTGGGGGAGTGTCTTCCCTTCAGTAAGAGATGAATATGTATTTTTTTTTATAATTTTTTTTTTAACATTTATTTAGTGTGTGTGTGTGTGTGGCCAGCTCAGCCCACCAGGGGGCACGGCTGGCTGGCATGTGGTGCTGGAGGATCGAACCATGGTCCCTGTGCTTTGCCAAGCTTGTTCCAAGTAGGTGCTTTAGACCACTGAGCCATCTCTCCAGCCCGATGAATATGTATTAAAGGGCTAAGGAGGAAATCAAGATAGAGGAAGGAAAATGAAATATAATCATCAGGACTAATGTGATGGCATTTCAGAGTTACTTGAACTTCCTAGTTGCCAAGGTGAAAAGAAACAGCTAATTGAGCTCTTGTATAGAGAAAGAAGGGTATTCTCAGTTCTCAAGGCTTCTGTGGCTCTAAGTTCTGATAAGCAAGGCCCACCAGCCTAGGGAACCTCACAGGCACCTCTCCACACATACCTTATAGAGACAGAGGCTCAGCCCAGCCCTGACCCGCTATGAGAGGTGATGAGCAGGGCTCCAGAGTCAGTGCTGGCTGTGTGACCAAGGTGAGCTGGCCAGCTGTATAGTGGATAGGAGTGGTCCCTATGTTGTGGGGACTGGATTACGGAAGCGTGCCCAGTGCTCAGCTTAGAGCAAGTGACCACCAAAGGCCAGGTATCCTGTTTTCCCTGTTTCTGTCACAAATTTGCCCCTCATCTAGAGGTGTTAAACCCCAGAACCTAGTTTCTTTATCGAGAATGCAGACAGTCCTTTCTGCCTTCCAGAGCTGTTGAGGGTATAAATACTGTCCTTCAAGCCTGAGGCCTGGTATCTGCTCACTGTGTCTTCTGCAGGCTTCAGAAGTAAGGCCGGCAACACAGCAAGGTAGCAGCTGGGGTGGTCTCCAGGGGTGGGCCCCAAGGAGGTAGGGAGGATGCCTACTTGACCGAGACGGGAGACAGAGGCCTAGAGAAGAAGTCTGTGTTCAAAGATGACAGTGAAACCATCCTGGGACCTCAGCCCTGTTTCACGGGCTGTAGGCAGGGTTTGGGCAGGTTGGCCTGGGGAGCTACTCCAGCTGGGCTCCTGAGTATCTCCTGTGCATGGCTCAGGCACAAGAGCAAGAAGAAAGCCTTCACCAAGGCCTGCAAGAGGTGGCGGGATGCCGATGGCAAAAAGCAGCTCCAGAAGGACTTTGCTGCCATGAAGAAGTACTGCAAAGTCATTCGGGTCATTGTCCACACACAGGTCAGCCCTACCCCCTCCTTTCAGTCTGTCCACTCCAGGTTTCCTCCCTCTCTAGCTTCCAGGATCCCTGACAAATGTCAGCCTAAAAATATCACAAGTCTTGGGCATAAGACTAATGACTGGCCAAGTGCCTCACTGGCCATCACAGCCCCAGAGACAGGATGTAGTTAGTGTCTGCCAAGGGGCCTCAGCATATTGGCCACATCCCATGGTCACCTAAAGCCCTAAAACAGCCAGGGGGCTTGGGTCTCCTGCCACTCCAGTGTGCAGGGCTGTTGCTTCCCTGGCCCAGGAGTACATGTGATTCAGTACCTGGGGTCTGGCTTCATGTGGGTGACGAACAACCCACACCCTCTGGGTTTTTCAGAAACATTCCTTGACATCTGTCTTCAGGGGAAGCTACCTCTACCTCTCTCTAGAATCTCCCAGCTCGTGAATATATCCACTTGACCCAGTTACTCTCACACTTGCAGTTCATAGACAGTGAATCATGATTAATATCCATCTCCCTCCACTGACTTGACCTCGCTCCATGAAGCCTATTATGCAGTAGGTGCTGCATAAATATTTGTTGGACACTAGACTGTGACAGGCCACTAACTGGCCTGTTTCACTTGTGTATCTGCACGTTCTGAACCTCACATCATGGCTGGTCTTTCCCACAACCTGTCTGGCCTCTTTGCTCTTTCTTCACCATGATCTGGCCACGTTGGTCTTTTTATTATATATATATATATATATATATATATATATATATATATATATATATATGTATTTTAGTACAGGGTCTACAGGGTCTCCCTACATAGATCCATAGTGATTCTCCTGCTTTCAGCCTCCCAAGCACTAGGATTCCAGGTGTGTGCCACTACGGCCAGTCTCAATCGCTGTCACAGTGCATCCCGGGGATGAGGCCGGCACAGCAGGCTGGGGATGGAACCCGAGCCACTGCGCTCTGCCTAAGCAGACGCTTTAGTCCGCTGAGCTATCTGGCCGGCCCATACTTCTTTTTTTTTCTGAGACAGAGTCTCACTAAGTTGCCGAGACTGGGCTTAAACCTTTAATCCTGCCTCAGCTTCCCAAGTTCTAGGATCACAGACGTGTTGCCATACCCAGCATGGTTTTCTTTCTGTCCCATCAACTCTTTAACATCTTTCTAATCACTGTGACTTTGTAAATGCTATTCCTTCTGCCATTGTTTTTTTTTTTTTGAATATTCACCTCACCTCACTGTTTTTTTTTTTTAATTCAAAATGTTTATTGAGCAGCTAGACTAGAGATTAAAATGAAGTATGCTTTTTTTTTTTTTCTGGCAAGACTGGGGATTGAACTCAGACCCCTGCACTTGCCAGGGAAGTGCTTATTCTACTGAGCCATCTCCCCGGCCCTTTAGAGATTAAAATGAGATGAGCCATATGCACAAATAATAGCAATATGTATGGTGCACTGAATCACAGCAGGTAAAGGAAAAAAAGTGCTTTCAGAAAAAGATGCCTTCCAGCCTGGAAGAGGGTGTGAGTGGCAAATCTGGAAAGGGGATTGAGATTAAAATGGAAGACTTCGGTCTAGATTGTTGATGATATTCACTATGGACTATTATTTTTCTCTCCTTTTTATTTCTCCCCATCTTTGGGATTAACTTATCAACAGTTCTTTCTGTTTTTGGCATCACCTATTCAAGAGTTCCCTGACCACTCTCTGAAGTATCCCCCCCAATAGTCTATGAGACCACTTAACCCTTCCCAAGAATTTACTTAGATTCTGTTTGTGCCCTAGCCTAAGGTAAGGGACCATGTCTACCTCATTCCATGCTGTACTCACAGTACTTGGCATAGCAAACAGCTGGCCGTGCCATGTCTGCAGGTAAAAGGGGCAGGGGACCTTCTGGGATCTAATCATTGTGCCATGTCCTGCAGATGAAGCTGCTGCCCTTCCGGCAGAAGAAGGCCCATATTATGGAGATCCAACTAAATGGTGGCACAGTGGCTGAGAAGGTGGCCTGGGCTCAGGCCCGGCTGGAGAAGCAGGTGCCTGTACATAGTGTTTTCAGCCAGAGTGAGGTCATTGATGTCATTGCTGTCACCAAGGGCCGGGGTGTCAAAGGTAGGGCATGATGAGGATGATAGCTCTTGGGAAGGTTGTTGGAGGCAGAGGGGTCAGACTACTCAAGACACCAGCCCTTCCCACCCTCAGGGGTCACCAGCCGCTGGCATACCAAGAAGCTGCCACGGAAGACCCATAAGGGCCTGCGCAAGGTGGCCTGCATTGGTGCCTGGCACCCTGCCCGTGTGGGCTGCTCCATTGCTCGAGCTGGACAGAAGGGTTACCATCACCGCACTGAGCTAAACAAGAAGGTGTGTCCACGGCCCTGAGAGGGAATACAGTGGGTGGTGTGCACAATCCAGACACTTCCCAGGGTTCGTGCAATGCCACCAGTACCTGGGTCTAAGCATATGTGCTGATGGGTAGGTCCCTATGCTGGCCCCAGAACTCACCCTCTGGTCCCTACTGTGCCCTCTTCCCCTGGCAGATCTACCGCATTGGCCGGGGACTCCACATGGAAGATGGGAAGTTGGTCAAGAACAATGCATCCACCAGCTATGATGTGACTGACAAGTCCATCACGCCATTGGTGAGGGAGAATGGCTAGGCTGGCTGGGGGAGCCTGGCAAGTATGGGAAGGGGGCTGGCTCCAACCCCAGATGAACGCTATCCTGCTCCAAGAACTCAAGATGTGTATCCCACAGGCAGATGGGGGCACAAGACCCTACTAGGTGGGCAGTGATGTTGGGCCTGGAGCAACAGCAAATGGCCACGTGGCGGCCTCAATCTCGGCCATCTCCTGCATCTTCTAAGCCTCCTCCTTGGAGTTCACACTCCAGCTGCTGTCAGGAGGGTGTGGGACACCCCAACTCCACCCCAAGTAATGCCAACCTTTTAAGGCATAGTTTACCCCCATAAAAACAGATGTTGCCAGATGTGGCACATGCCTGTAATCCCAACACTCAAGAAAATGAGGCAGAAGGATCACAGCAAGTTTGAGGTCAGCCTACTGTTATGGGTCAACTTTGCATAGAAACCAGATCAGCCAGATAGAGATTTGAATAGAGCCTTTTATTTACTGAGCTCAGGTCCGTCAGCCACTTCTCTCGCAGGAGAAGGCTGATTGGCCCCGAATGTAGGTAGCAAGGGGGTATTTATAACAGAAATCACATCCAGTTTGGTAAGCAAACTTGTTATCTAGTACAGAACGACAGAAACTGCATTCATTTGACACAGCTGCAAACTGTTTATAACTAAAAGGTCTTTTACAGCTTAGTGATAAGTGCATATTTTTATAACGTATATCTTAAGCTGACTATGTTGCAGAAGATGGTCGGGGAGGGAGTTTGTGTTAGCTTGCTGCCTTGACAAGAAACAGTTATTTATTGTTGAATAGCCTTGAGCCGAAAGGGAGAACACATTTTTTAGAGCAGATAACAGGAAGCACAAGGGGTTTTTATAATTTTTTATAATTAAGGCACAAAACTCCATTAACCCTTTACACCTACGATATATAGTAAGTTCAAGACCAGGGCCAGGGAGACAGCTCAGGGCCAGGGAGATAGCTCAGTAGAATAAGTACTCACCTGACAAGCACAAGGGCCTAAGTTCAATCCCCGGTTCTGCAAAAAAAAAAAGTTAAGAGTGTCTCAAAACAAAACAAAACAAAACAAAACAAAAACAAAAAAAAAAAAAAACCCCAAAAAACAAAACAGAGGTTGAGTGAGATAATGGACTAAAAGACTTAGCATGTGGCTGAGACACTGCCCTAATTAGTGATCCTTCTCCTGGGGGCTGGGCACAGGCTCCTTCCAGTCACAGCCCTACGTGGTAAGTTTTCCTAGGGCTCCTAGCTGCACCCCCCCCCCTCCCAGCTCAGCAGCCCTTTAACCTGGCATGGCCTCTGTCTTGTCTTTCTCACAGGGCGGCTTCCCTCACTATGGAGAAGTCAATAACGACTACATCATGCTGAAAGGTTGCATTGCAGGCACCAAGAAGCGGGTCATCACGCTGAGGAAGGTCAGTGCAGCACACTGAGTTCGGAGGTGGGTTCCTTAAGGGCTGCCCCAGCCAGCCTGTGTCCTGCAGCCTGCTCCGGGGTGGAGTAGGTTGTGAGAACAAAAAAGAAGTTTGGTTGGAGGTGGGTGAGGGAGACGGTGAGAGGTGGTGAGAAGAAGGTCTAGGACCCATCATCCTGACAACTTTTCTTTCGGATCCCCAGTCCCTCCTGGTGCACCACAGCCGCCGAGCCTTGGAGAGCATTGAGCTCAAGTTCATCGACACCACGTCCAAGTTTGGCCACGGCCGCTTCCAGACAGCCCAAGAGAAAAGGGCCTTCATGGTAAGCCAGCCTCTCCTCTGGGGCTCAAACTGCACCTCTCGCCTGCTGCGGAGTGGAGAAGTTAGATGCCTAGAGCTGTCGGGGCCATCCCACATTCACCCATAAGCTTTTAGCCCTCGTGGCCGGGCGCTAGCTAGGGGCGGTGGCCCAGGACAAGACTTGTGACTAATGCTTCTCCTGTCCCCCTCAGGGCCCCCAGAAGAAACATCTCGAGAAGGAGAAGCCGGAGGCCTCAGGAGATTTATAGGGAGCTTGGGGACCTGAAGATTGCACCCCGGCTCACCACGGGCCCGCCCTGTTCAATAAATGTTGGAGGCAACTCGGTGTCTCAGGGGTTGGGATTGCGGAAAGGCCGGTGGACGCGGAGAGAAAACGAGAGATCCCGTCCCAGGTGGCCCAAGCAGCCGCTGCTCGCCCTGTGGTGCCGCGGGCAAAACTGAAGACAGGGCGGAGCTTCAGGCTGCTGGGTCTGCGCTCAGCGGAAACGTCAGGAGTGACCCTTCCGAGCAATAGATGGGCGGGGCCCGCTGAAAAGACGGGCGGGGTACAACACGTCCTCGGGAGGGGCGGGGCCTTCTGCGGGCGGAAGCCGAGCGGGGGTGGGCCCTAGCGAGGGTGCGGGGCCCCCTGGGAAGGGGGCAGGGGGAAACCGGGAGCCTCCGTGTGATTGGTCCTCTTTAGGGGTGGGGGAGTCAGGCGTAGGGAGTGACTGATTGGTCCTTGGGAAGGCTCTGTTGGCGTGGGTACTGGTTTAGGGATCAGAGGCCTCGGATCTGTGCTGGCGGTACCATGTCGTTCTGCAGCTTCTTCCGGGGCGAGGTTTTCCAGAACCACTTTGAACCAGGT